TGGCAGGACGCTTTTCCGCAAAAGCACTTTTTGCAGAAAAGCATCCGTGGCCAATCTAGACGCGCTTTTCCGCAAAAAAGCCCCGATCGACATTTTGAGGCTTTTTTGCGGAAAATAAATCTCTGCTGTCTACATTGGCCCTTTTGCGCAAAAGTTTTTCAGAAAAAGACTTTTGCCCGAACGGGAGCACCATAGTATTTCCATGAGATCACCTCCCTTCAGGAAGTTGAAGACTGCTATCAAATCCCCCCTCACTCTTCGCTTCTGAAGACTAAGTCCCTCAGCCTCTCTTCATAAGTCATATGCTCCAGCCCCCTAATCATTTTGGTTGCCCTCCGCTGGACCCTCTCCAATGCGTCCACATCCTTTTTGTAGTGGGGGCCCCAGAACTGGACACAATACTCCAGATGTGGCCTCACCACATCTGGTATTGTAACTGCATGAACCTGTTGATTGGATTGGCTCCTGCGGCACACCTTAGCAAAATGCTCAATCTTTTTGCAGTGATTGCACTGAGCTTCTTTTGCAGGACATCTTGTGTAGCTTGCAAGCTTTTGTGGGGATCCACAGTGAAAGCATGCTTTTGCTGTGCTTTGAAGTTGCTGATTCTGGGTTTTTTTCATTAGTTTTCCCCTTGTGATTGTTTGTCTGCAACAATAGTGGACTTTTCTGCAAAGGAGTCACAGCCTGGACTGGGCCTCCTGTATCCATGCTCATTATTTTGGCCTCTGCTATAGCTGACTCAATCTGGGTAGCAATGGTTATTGCTTTTGCCAGGGTGAGTTGTGGTTCTAGAAGCAAGCGTTCTCTTACACCAAGCATGGTTGTTTTCTCAATGAGCTGGTCTCTAATCATCTCATCTGCCATATTCCCAAAGTCACAAGTAACAATCAGACTCCTCAGAGAAGCAACATACTGCATTATAGTCTCCCCTGGTTCCTGCTCACGCTGGCGATATCTATAGCGATTAGCTACTACAGTCACTTTTGGCACAAAAAGTTCTTTAAAGCAGTGAGTGCAGTCTCATATTTATCATCTGCAAGGGGAAAAAGTGTAAAATATACACTTCCCTTCTGCTCCAAGGCAGTGGATTAGCAGAGCAGGCTTTCTTATTTCAGAAATCTCTGTAGCACTGATTGCAAGCAGATAAGTCTCAAACATATGGATCCAGGCAGTAAAAGCAATTGGAGGCTCACCTGGGCTTTGCAGAAAGGGTGCAGGTGGGTTCAGAGGCAGAAGATCCATCCTCGTCGCCAAAATGTTGTATCATGCAAACAAGGTAGTAACAAACTTCAACAGGCCTTTATTTACCAAAGGTGAAACCTCTTCACAAAGCTGCTGCTGCTCCCCTCTGTAGCTCTCACTCAGGCCTGGCCCATCTCCTCCCCCCTCCTTCCTGTTTCGTCCTGTGCGTCCAGATTCCCAACAGCCAGCGCTTCCAATTCTAATAATTACAAGCAACATCTACAACACCACCACAAGATAACACGCCGGTCACAGTCTGACACAGCAGAATCCATAGACTTCAACAGAGAAAAGGATTCTAAAAGCAGGGTGCTTTGCTATGGAACTTTAGGTTCATCTTGCCACCAACTCCAGGAGAGCATCAGATCGCGACCGACAAAAGGCCCAGCTCTCCCCCTGTGATCCATCTGGCTGGCCACTAGATTGATCCAGACTCTGCACTGGTAACTATAACATCATCTGGCGGGACTGTGCGTGCATGGTGTTTGTGTGGGTGGGTGATTGAAAAGCATATGCTACTGCTGTATTCTCCATAAATGCGACGTACTGCCTTTTCCCCTATAAAAGATCCCGTGTGCTTTGTTTAAGCACCACACTGGGTAACCAAAGCTTCCCTGAGGCCTTGTCTGCAGGCGGGTTTTGGCCCCCGTCGACTCGCTCGGTTTAGAACCTGGTGCTGTGACCGTGGCACCAGGCAGGCGGCCCAGGACAACGGGGTGTAACGTAGCAGAGCTTGCTCCCCTAAGCGTCCTGAGATGCAGGCTACCGTCAGAGCCACCTTTCTACCACGAGACCTGTGCCCCCACACGGGCCTCGGCTGGCACTGCTGGCGTAGGAATGCCAGTGCGAAGAACAGCGGCGCAGGAACTGCTTCTTGGGGAGGGGTCCAGAGCTGCACCCCCCATTTAGACTTGCTGAGATGGCCCATGTTTCATGTTTGAAAACACCCTCGGGTCCGTCCAGTCCGGGAGAGCTGCAACCCTCATTACCCAGGCTGGGGCCATAGCTTAGGAAGCCATGGCGGTAGGACCTCAAGGACCAGCAGGACTGGGGGGGCTGACAAAATGTGTGGGGTCGGCAGGACTTGTGGGGATTGCCGGGAGGCTAGGACCTGGGGCTGGAGAAGCTGGCAGCGGGGCTATCCCCCAAGGTGCGGGGAAGCCGAGTGTGAAACTTGGGGTCAGGACAGGAGCTCAGGAGAATCAGCTGCAAGCAGCAGGCGTGCTCCAGGAGGAGGCAGGGGAGGGTGCTGGTTGCTAACGGCACTCAGGGAAAAGACAACTGCTGGGGAACCTTTGGGAGGGCGACACCCACAGCCCGAGACTTGTCGCTCTTCAGCCCTAGGGAGCCATACTCGAGCCACACGGTCACTCACGTGACAGGCCTCCCTGGGGGCATGCTATGGCCCCTTTGCCCAGCGTCCCCACCTCTCAGCAGCCCTGCTTGGAACCCCGGCCACGCGCAGGCCTGCCCCACCACCTGGACCCCGCAACTCACACATCAATGCTGACTGTCCTCTTCGTCGCCTTCTTCAGCTCCCGGCACAGCCTGGCCTGCTTCACCCTGTGGGGACAGCGCCCGGCATGAGGGGGCCGCGAGACGCCTAGAGACGGAGCAGCTGCCCCAGGCCAAGCAAAGGCAGGAGGCTCGTAGGGGACACAGCCAGGGCTGGAGAATGCACGGGTAAGGACAGCTGCCTCCAGCCTACGCTAGTGCCGGACCCAGGGAAGGAAAAATGCTCCATATCCCACTGTAGGTTACAGCTGGGCTCATGAGTGTCTATTTGTGCCATATTTGGTACACGTGTTGGGGGAGGGGGGTGTACACACACACACACACACACACACACACACACACACACACACACACACACACATACACACACACACACCCCTCTCAGCCGGCAGCTCCAAAACTAAGAACAGCCAGACTGGGTCAGACCAAGGGTCCGACTAGCCCTGAATCCCGTCTTCCGACAGAGGCCAATCCCATGTGCCCCAGAGGATCATCACGTGATCCCTCCCCTGTCATCCTTTCCCAGCTACCCTGCCCATCCTGGCTCCTAGCTACCGATGGGCCTACCCTCCACAGACTGATCTAGTCACCTTTAGAACCCAGTTATAGTTTTGGCCTTCTCCACAGCCCCGGCAGTGGGCTGCACGGCCTGACTGGGCCTCGCAGCACTCTACTGTGTGAACTAGAGACCTCCCTTTTTCTGGGGATATCACTGCGGCTTATGTCCACTTCATAGGAAAGCAACACAGCTGGTGGCTGGCAGGGTGTAAACCCCTCACCACGGGCAACAGAACAAGCCCAATTCCGTCAGCAGAGGGAGCTGAACTCAAGAGGCAGAATGGCACTGGCCTGAGACATGGGAACCTTTGGGGCAAGGCCTTGCTCTGCCACCGCCCGCCCGTGTGACCTTGGGACAGTCACTTAACTACCCCGTGCCTCAGTTCCCCTATCTATACAACAGGAATAAGGCCCTGCCTCCCAGGTAGCCGAGAGCATAAGGTCATTACAGACTGGGAGGCGCTTGGGTGATGGGGCCAGTAGCAGAGCCCCTCAACAGCCAGTCCGGGGCACGCTCATGGCACACTGATACCAGCTGCGACATCCTGCCCAAGAGCTCCCACTGGCCTGAGCGAGCAATACCCCCCTTGCAGCACAGCGGGGGCCAGTCAATGTCCCCCTGCTCCAGGACTCTGCTCTGGCACTCCAGGGGCAGGCAGAGCCTGGTGTGTTCTCTGCTTTGCCCCCCTCTCCTGCTCCATTTCCCCCCTTGCAGTGCAGGAGGGCTGGCCAACATTCCCTTCCCTCTGCAGCCGCACCCCCCACCAGGTCTCCTCCGTGGTACCCCAGGTCTGCACCCCCCATCCACCTCTCTAACACGCTGGGCAGGGACAGACCCCCAAACCTACCTCTCGTTCTTCTCGTTCTGGTGCTCGGCAGCCTCCTTCTTCTTCCGCACCAGGCTCTGAAGCAGCTCCTCCCCCCTCTCAGCCCCTCCCCGCAGCTCGGCCTCCTGGAGCCGGTAACGCTCGCGCCGTTCCCACAGCCCAGGCCCCCCGCCTGGCCCGCCAGCTGCTGCTGCTCTGCCTCCAGCTCAGCGAGCCGCCCACTCAGGGACCCCAGCCTGCAACAAGCCAAGAGACAGCACCGTGTATCAGCAGGCCTGAGAGCGAGCTCCTCCACCCAAGCCCCCACCATCTTGATCAGCACCGGGGATTGAACCTGTGGCCTCCAGCGTGGAGAGCGCCCGTCTCTCCAGTGTGAGCCCAAGGCTGAATCCCTTAGCGGGGAGCTGGAGCATCAACCCACATTGGCTAAACGTCAAGCAACTGGCTAGCGCCAGGCAGGCACCGCACAGGTTTCTGTCACGGGCCCAGCTCGTGGGGTTGTCTCTGCAGCACTCGTAGAGTGAAACGTGACACATTCACTGCCATTAACAGAGCCACTCAGATTGTGATTCCAGCATGGGGGGGAGGGGTCTGTAGAAAAGGGGGGCAGTTTTGCAGAGCAGATCTGCCCCCTCATGCTGGCTAAATAAGCAGGCAGCCCATCGGGGTTGTGGGTGTGGCCTGCCAGACATTTTGTTCACCGCTGTCCATGCGCAGGGTTGCCAGATTCTGCTGGTTTCTGTTCACTGGGGCTATGTCTACACTCGCGGATTCTTGCACAAGAACATCTTGTGCAAGAAAACGTCCACACTGCCGCGTGCGAGCTGTGCTTTTGCACAAGAGCTCCCATGGCAGTGTGGACGGGCTCTTGCACAAGAAAGCTCCGACGGCCATTTTAGCCATAGGGCTCTCTTGCGCAAGAAATCCCTGCCGAGTGTCCACACTGCCCTCTTGCGCAAGAAATCCCTGCCGAGTGTCCACACTGCCCTCTTGCGCAAGAAATCCCTGCCGAGTGTCCACACTGCCCTCTTGCGCAAGAAATCCCTGCCGAGTGTCCACACTGCCCTCTTGCGCAAGAAATCCCTGCCGAGTGTCCACACTGCCCTCTTGCGCAAGAGCTCCTGTGCTGTAAATTTCCTTGTGCAAGAGCGGGCGGGCAGTGTAGACGCTCTTTTCCGGCTTTTTTAAAAGCCGGAAAAAAGCGGCGGACATTTTTATTTAAATACCGCGGGGGATATTTAAATCCCCCGCGCATTTCCCTACTACGACTCATGAAATTTACATGCCCCTTCCAGAAAAGGGGCCAGTGTAGACGAGCCCTTTAGTGTTTTTCCTACTGGCCTTACTACAGCGACACATGTAAACCAAGGGCACATACAGGTCTAGTGGTCTATGTTTCTGTGAAGTGAGGCGGGTGCTGATTGCACATAACAGACTGTAGGCAGTGCTTTTTTTTTTTTTTGGGTAAGAAAAAAGGTGCCGGTACTCCAGGGAAAGTTCTTGAGCAAAAAAAACACCCCGGTTACGGCCCCCTTTAAGAACTGTGTGGTCCCAAATGGACTTCCATGGGGACTCCCAAAAAAATGCCAGTGAAATCTCCTCTGACAATAGGTGCCGGTATGCCCAAGGGGAATGCCGTTCATTTCTGGTAGCTGGGAAAATAGGTGCATACCGGCGCAAAAAAAAAGCACTGACTGTAAGAGCCATGCGCTCCCTCTACCTCCGATCAAAGCGCTGCTGCGGTTCAGTCCGCACCTCCCGCAAATTCTAGGTATGCAAGTGCAGTTAGAAAAACGACCTTAGCCCACGAGATCATCTGGTTACAACAGTCTTGCAGCCACTGAGATGAAGGAGGGCCACTCACCAGCCTGGGGTACCCATCATTGCCCTAGGAGAGGCGCATTGGAAGAAAGCCGTGTTAAGTCAGGGCATCCAAGAGCTCAGGGGTATCCTTACCTTGTTTTCTGCTCCTGCAGTTCACACTCTTTGGCCTTGAGTAATTTGCTCAGTTCAATAATGCGATATGCCAACTGCAAGCGAGAGAGAGATTTCAAGGGCTTGGTGATCTTCCAAAGAACATAAGAACGGCCATACTGGGTCAGACCACAGGTCCATTTAGCCCAGCATCCTGTCTGCCAACAGTGGCCAGTGCCTGATGCCCCAGAGGGAGTGAACAAAAAGAAGTAATCATCAAGAGATCCCTCCCTTGTTATCCATTTCCAGCCTCTGACCAACAAAGGCGAGGGGCACCATTCCTACCATCCTAGCTAAGGGTATGTCTACACTTGCAGCCTATTTCGGAATAGGGCTGCAAATGTAGGCATTCGGAATTGCAAATCAAGTCTGGGATTTAAATATCCCGTACTTGATTTGCATCTTCCCGGCTGGGCACTACGTTTTTTTTTTTTTTTTAATTTACAAAATTACTGCCCGCGTCTACATGCGGCAGTGAAACGGGCGTTCGAAATAAAGCCCTATTCTGAATGACCTATTAAACCTGATTGCAGGAGGAATAACAGGTAGTTCGAAATAGGGCTTTATTACGAATGCCCGTTTCGCTGCTACACATAGATGTGAGCAGTTATTCCGGGCTTGTAAATTTCAAAAAATGGCACCCGGCCTGGAAGATGCAAATCAAGTGCAGGATATTTAAATCCCAGACTTGATTTGCAATTCCGAATGCCTACATTTGCAGCCCTATTCCGAAATAGGCTGCAAGTGTAGACATACCCTGTGTGGATGTTTTCAGAGAAGTATCCACAATGACACTAAGATCTCTCTCGAGGAGATGTAACTAAATGAGTCCCCATCATATTGTTTGTATAGCTGGGATTATTTTTGCCAATATGCGTTACTTTACATTTATCAACATTAAAATGAATTTGCCATTTTGTTGTCCAATCACCTAGTTTGCGAGATCCTTCTGAAGCTCTTCACGGTCTGCTTTGGTCTTAACTATCTTGAGCAGTTTGGCAGCATCTGCAAATTTTGCCACCTCACTGTTTACCTCTTTCTCCAGATCATTTATAAATAAATTGAATAGGATTGGTCCCAGGACAGACTCTTGAGAGATCCCACTAGTTACCTCTCTCCATTCTGAAAACTGAGCATGTATTCCTACCCTTCGTTTCCTGTCTTAACCAGTTATCAGTCCATGAAAGGACCTTGTCTCTTATCCCATGACAACTCACTTTACTTAGGAGCCTTTGATGAGGGACCTTGACAAAGCTAAGTACACTATAAATGAGAAATGCTCGTACGTGACCTAGGGCTGTGGAGTCTACAAGGCCGAGTTGGTCCGACTAATAAACCATACTTCACCTGCGACTGTGGTGTGTGCGGTGGGATACAAGCATGACAGATTGAGGTTTTTTGTTGCTCACTTGCACGACAACACCCAGGCTATTTTTTAGCAGAGCGAACTTCCTGTCTCACCAATTGGAGTTGGTCCAACAGAAGATATTACCTCCCCCACCATGTCTCTCTAACATGCCAGGCCTGACACCACTGTCTACAATACTCAGAATGTTCTTCCAGTTGCCAAGCCATTTCCTAGCCAGGCTAGTTTCTGAGCTGTGGGACCAAACTAAAAACTCTGGGAGCGGCTTTTCGAGACAGAGAGCTAGTGTCTAGATGCCAGAATTGCAGATGGGGTTCCCCAGCTGCTCGCTCCCCTACAGCCTCCACAGTGGCACAGTCTTTGGGTCTAAAGTGTGTAAAATGACACAGTGGAGTGATGCAGAATCGGGCCCATGTTTTACCAGACCCATGTACCTATGGCGCAGAGGTTCCCAAACTGGCCGGGGGGCATGATAAAGTTATCGGAAGATCTGATGGAGACATGCTAAAGGCTGGAGTCGGAAGGGGGCAGAGGACGCGGGCAGGGCTCTGTGCACGTGGTCTCAGCTGGGACCAGACTCCTTGCCCCGCTCACTGCCCCACTGCTGCAGTAGCCACCCACCAGCAGTTCTGCTAGAGATGATTCTGCGAGCAGGGAGGCTGCAACCTGACAGTACCTCCCCCCTTGCTGGGCTAGACAGAGCCGTGTTCTGTGCCTGCCCCTTCAGTACAGCTCCAGGGCACACAGCCCTGCCAGAGAGACCCCCATGCATGCAGGGAAAGCAGGCAGGGCTGTGCCCGAGGGCTGCAGTCAGCTGGGAGCTGTTCTCATGGGGGCATCTTTCACTCCCCTGCTGACGCCAGGCCTCCAGTGCTGCCCTGTTCACACCCAGAGCTGGGTGTCCCGGCAGCCAAGACCGGCTGACAGCTGCAGGCTTCCACAACCGCCAAATACCCCCCAAGCTCTGAGATACTGAGCACCCCACCCTGGCCCCCGTGGGCACAGGGTCCTCCTCCCCCACGCAGGGGGCTAGGAAAACAGTCCCATAGTTTTGGGATGCAACACTGGCAACCCCACCCCAATCCCGGCCGCTGTGCCAGGTGCTGTCCAGACCCCGCTTCCCTCTCCCCTACGTACCTCCCCGCTGGCGTCTTTCACCTCCGCGATCTGCCTTTGGTACTTTCTCTTCAGGGTCTGCAGCCCTTCTGCGGAGCCTGGGCCCGGTTCCGGCACGGAGCCACAAGTGTCCTGCCCCGGCCTGCAGACAGAGCAGGTTCAAACCCCAAAGTCACTTCTGAGCAGGTATCATTCCCACGGCCCCATGTAGTGGCACAGAGACGGCTTAGAGAGAGAGAGTTTGCGCTACAGCCTGAGCTGAGAGTCAGGCGTAGAGCAGGGGTAGGGAGCCTTTTTTGGGTAGGGGGCCGCACACAAGTGGGAAGCAAAAAAAACCCCAAACCTCCCAACTGAGAAGGAGAGACACTCCCACCATTCCCCTCGCACACCAGAGCCTGGGGGAGTCCAAGCTAGTAGATTGCATGCACTCCAGCCCCACAAGGGGATGGCAGGGGGCTGGAGCGCCAGCAGTGAGCACCAGAAGCCTCAGGGGCCGCATCCAGCCCTTGGGCTCTAAGTTCCCCACCCCCGCTGCAGAGGCTCCTGCACTAAGCTCCAGAGGTCCCAGGTTCAGTTCCGCCTGTCGGCACCACACCTGCAGCCAAGCGTCATGAAGATCAGCCTTCCCCACGGCCAACCCTTGAGGCAGAGGGGAAAGGCTGCCGGGGATGCATGTGAGAAAGAGACCACAGGCGTGTCAGGGAACCGTTCTGCTTCGTGCCCAGAAAAACCCAAAACCAGAGCCTGCCGGTCGGCACCGTGGCAGCTCTCATCCAAAAACAAGCCCCACTTCTGCTTTTTTGCAGCAGAGCACAGTGTAACCGGGAGGGTTTCTGCTCCATTGAGCCGCACCGCCGCTGGCCAAGATGCTCCCTCCCGCCCCACTGCCTTCAGCGAGGTGTGAAACCGGGGAGCTATTTAAACAAGCATTGCGCTAGCCAGGATATTGCAGGCATCGCTCGTGAGGGCACACAGAACAGCTGAAGGTCAGTGTGCCAGAGCCAAGTGCGGCTACTGCCACAGGACACGGTGTTGTGCAGGCTGCCGTTGGTGGTGGATTTAACCAAGGCTGGTCCCTCAAACTGCCCCCTAACGCGGAAAGCAGTAATGCACCCCTACCACATGGCCACCTTCACTGGGCTGCAGGACGCTTAGTCTCTGCATATTGCAGCTGCCATTACAAAGGTTAACTGGGCAACTTTCCCATTGCCTGCTCAGCCCAGCTTCTGTGGCCCTGCCCCACGGTCAGCTGGAAGAAGGGTGGCAGAATCAGGCTCCCAGGTTTTTGTGGGGGGAGAGAGCAAGAGACACACGCAGGCAGAAGCATTGCTTCGTTCACCTCGTGGGGTGCGGCTACAACTGGGCTGGAACGTGGCAGCAGTTTAACACCCAGCAGTTTGGGGCAGGATGTGAAGATGCAAAACACTGTCAAACGGATGCTGCAGAGGGCATCTAGAAAGTCTAAATGTAATAGGGTTGCCAGGCGTCCAGTATTTGCGGCCCAGACAGTCCAGTATTTGCGGCCTGTTGGGTAAAAAACCAGAAAATACCAGACATGTACAACGTCCGGTATTTTCTGTTTTTCTCAGACGGCAGGCCGCTTGGGACACCCTTCTGGGGGGGGCAGCGGGGAGCGTGGGGATTTAAAGGCACAGTGTCTCTTTCTTTTGTGCCTTTCTTTTCCTCAACCAATTTTTCCCCCCACTATGTTCGGTGTTTTTTTTTTTTTTTTTTTAAAGTATCTGGCAACCCTAGAATGTAATTACCCACAATTCAAGCTGGCCTAGGCCCCCGACATCACCCCCTCCCTCCCCTTGCAAAAGTCACTTGAGGTCTATGGTCCAGGTCACAAAAGTCTCCTCTGAAAAAGTTGGCAGCGGAGGAGCCGGGAGCCGGGCTGGCTCAGTGGATTTTTGTTGGGAAGGAAGAAAGGTCTGATTGTGAAAGCCACCCCCTCCCCAGGGCGCCGACAGCCACCACTAGTCAGGAGCCTTCGCGCTGCGAGGGACCCTGGAGACGGGCAACGCATGCCTATCAGCTTCCAAAGATAACAGTGCGGCCATTGTAGGGGCAGCGGGGCTGCAGCCTGGTGCTGCCTGTCGGGGAAGCTGTCCTGCCTGCGCCATGACGGCTACGCTCTACTTACCTTGGGGCCTGGCGATCAAAGGACTCAGCCTCCAGCTTCTCTGAGAAATGCACCATCAGGCTGGACTTTTCCAAGAGCCTGGTATCTGCGAGGAAGCAAAGAGAACCAGGGCTTAGGGACCACGTGCATCGTGCTCGGGGCGGGGGGAGGGGGCACTCATCAGAGGCCCTGCTCTGAAATCTGGGGGGCATCAGACGCAACAGAAGCCCAGCTCCTCCCGTATCCCCCTGCAAAATGGACTGAGCAGGCCTACGGGTGCTTCTTCCATCTCTCCAGTCGATCGCTGTGAACCCCAAGGGGCGGACGCATGGCTCTAACACAGTGTGACTGGGCCTGCTTATGCCAGCGGGGGGTACGGGCCCTGGCTCCCACAGGAAAGCACCAACATGCCGCCTGGGGCAAGCCTGGGGCAAGGAGGGAGGATTCCCCTGGTGAGGAATCTCTGCAGATTTGCATGGCGCGTACGATGGCCAGTCGCCGGCCAGGGCCCTGGTGCTGCACCAACATTGAGATCGCTCCTGCCCCAAAGGGCTCGGGACGCTCAGGTTCTCCGCAGCTCTGAGCGCCCAGAGCTGTAGGGGGCAGGAGCTGGGGCATCTCAGCCCCTTTGAAATGCAGGGACCAGCCATCCCAGGGTGGGAGCCCCAAAAATGGAGGGCAGGGCCGTGACTGGTTAACTGGTCAACTGGGTAGCCAGTCAGCCTCGTCCTGAACACGTGAGGCTTACTGGTTCTGGTTTGCTGGCAGGGGGCTGCTCCAGCCCCACGAGGCCCACTGCAGCCCTTGTCTGCGGAGGGGAGGGGGGGGGGCTTCAGCAGGGTGGGGGAAGGGCTGCTCTCCTCCCTTTAATCAGTTAACAGGTTAAACATAATGACGTGTAACCGGTTAACCAATTAAACGGGATTAGCGGAGGAACCCGAACTCAGAGGCCACTCTGAAGAATTTTGAGCTGCGTCCGTCTGGACCCATTTGCAGAAGGGAGGCCGCGTGCCCCTCCTACGGCCGCAGTGAGGTTCAACTCGGAGAGCAGCCCGTCACTGCTCAGTACAGTCACAGTGTGTAGGCAGCGTGCTAGTGCGATCACCCAGCAGCCCTTCCCACAACACCCCTGTCACCCGGCAGAGGCGGGTGTCCCTGCAGACCATGCTGTTTATCAGTGCAGGCCGGGAAAACCCCGGAAACAATTCCCCCTCACCCTCGCCGGCCATAGGACACCCACAGGGCAACGTACGGCACAGGCGGGGGGAAGGTGCAGCAGCCAAACCAGTTACACAGGTGTCGTTCGGGTGACAGGCAAATAACTGTCCTCTGCAGCAGCCCCTCCCACAACACCCCTGGGACCCGGCAGAGGCGGGTGTCCCTGCAGACCATGCTGTTTATCAGTGCAGGCCGGGAAAACCCCGGAAACAATTCCCCCTCACCCTCGCCGGCCATAGGACACCCACAGGGCAACGTACGGCACAGGCGGGGGGAAGGTGCAGCAGCCAAACCAGTTACACAGGTGTCGTTCGGGTGACAGGCAAATAACTGTCCTCTGCCTTGGAGAGAAGACAAACAAAGCCCCAGGCTGCTGGCCAGGACGACAGGTGTTGCGCTCTCATGGTGACTAACCACCCGGTGAGGATTCAAAGTCCATCTGTCCCCAGATGCTTACAGAGAGGGCAAGAGTTAGGGCTTGTCTACTCCACACGATCAAATTAGGGCAACTTCATCGGAGTCGACCTACAGCCACCGCAGGAATTCAGCCAACCAGCCGCGGGCGTCCAGGCCATCCTCCTCATGCTGGGGGAGCATCTCCTCACCAGGAGGGCTTACACAGAGGCTGAGTGGGGGGTACTGGCAGCTAGGCAGGGTTCCCGGCTGGAGCGCCCCATTCTCAAAGGGACAGCCCCATCTGTGACCCCTGCGTGGGCTGTTACACAGCACAGAGCCTACCCGCAGTAAAACTCACATTCTGGTCAATTGCATGCTGCTATTGCCTCTGCTCCCAGGGGCAGTAGCCAGGCTTGGAGAGGGTGGCTCAGGCAGAGCCGAGGGGAAACAGGGCTCCCTGCCGAGATCCTGGGCAGCAACCCACTGGGAGACCGGCCAGGTTTAATCGGAACTGTGAGCCAGGCGCAGGATTCCACCCTCTGGAAAAGCCAGGGACAATGTAGCCTGCCTCAAAACAGGGGCAGGGGATTCATTGCTTAGCGTCTGTGAGGAGCCTGCCTGGCTGGTCGGCTTCCAGGATCCGACGCGCGTCTGCAGCCCCGCCCCCTCTGCTCTGGTCTAGTGGTGCAGAGGCTGGAGAGAGCAGCCCGAAGGGAGACCAGAGCTGGATCCTACACCAGCTTCCTTCGAAGCTGCCAGCAGCAGGGCCAAGATGGGGCCGGCAGGAGGCGCGGCGGGAGCACGCCTCAGTCTGGCAAGCTGGAAGACGGCTGCCTGGGCCACGCACTTTAAAGCAGCCCCTGGACACAGAACAGGCCCAGGATCAGGGAGCTCCGTCCTCAGCAGAGCCTGGGGACATGCGCTGATTGCAAAGCGCCATAACCGGGCGCATTAGACCAGCAGGACAGGACTTTTACACGTGTATCTTTTGGGCCCCGGTGCAGCATGAGCCATCTGCCTTGTGACCTGTGAAGGAGCGAGAGCCAATCGCGGGTGCTGGGGGAGAAAGCCAGGCGGGAGGCTCTCTGGGTGGGTGCAGAGATAGTCACACCACAGTGTCGCCTCTCTGGGTGTGGAATTTCGCAAGGCCTGTGCCAGATTCAACACCTCAGCACCTCTCCTGGAACTCACAAGTCCCGCTCAGCCCTGCCACACCCTCCCTTAGCCACAGATTTCAGCCCCTGCATCCTCCAGTGAAAACCACTTTGCTTGAAAATACCTCGCCCTAGGTGGGATGCCTTGTTTTATCCACCTTCCAAACCCATTCACAAGCACTCGCTCATGAATCAACTCCCCCGGGAAATGAACCAGTCCCGAGCGTACTAGCTCGGGAAGCTTTTCCGCCATCACGGGAAGACAGCCACCTCCGGCATGCGACCAGCCAGCTGTCTGACAAAAGCACCACGAGAGGGTAGGACAGGAAGGGAAGAAATATCCCAATGGCCAATGCGACTGCTGGAGGAATCTGAGTAGCAGAAGGTAACTAGCTGGCTGACTGTCACGGGGCCGCCGGTAAATTGAGGTGAGCAGCAGATGGGTTCACAGCTCCCCAGCAGCACAGCCCCCTCTGGCCCAGGGATGCCTGCAATGTAGCCGTTTCTGCTGACAGCTGACGTATCTGAGTCTGGGCCTGGCTTGAGCCCTTGGCAAAAAAGCTGGGTGCCCTACTCCAAGCCCATCCCAGCTCTTCTATACTCCCCTGGGAACTACGGATGTAAATCCCTACTACAGGAAACTTCCGATAATCCCGCACCTTTAGGACCCAGGAGGTGCCGGATTATCAAATATGCCAGACTATCGGAAGGGGAGACTATGAGCGGTCTGGGGTGGAGTGGCGGGGATGCGCCCCTCAGCGCAACCCAGCAGCACCCCAGCTGCTCTGCCCCAGACTTCCCCAAGTCAGCTGCTGCTGAAACTGACCAGCGGCTGACTCCAGGAAGCCGGGGGCAGAGCAGCTCCAATTGTCCAGCTGCCCGGAGCACTTCCGGGTTCCAGATGGTGCCAGACCATCAGGAGTGCCGGACCATTTGATGCCGGACCGCTGGAGTTTTACTGTAACTAGTTATCCGGGTAAGCACTACATTTAACCAGTTAACTGATTAAGCTGAGATCCTGCTGCTGTTGGCCTCCACCTGGCTGTACGGGGGCTGCTGTTGCCAGCCCCCACCTGGCTGCATGAGGGCTGTCACTGCCTGCTCTGGGACCCCCGTGTGGCAGGGCCGGAAACAGGCTGCAGGCTGATTTAGTTGGGGTTGATCGGCTTTGAGCAGCAGGTTGGACTAGACGATTTCCTGAAGACTCCCAACTCTCTTCCCTTGGCACTTACACCTGATAGAACCTGGTCTGGGGTTGTCATGCTGCACTGGTGTTAGCTGCTATTACCAAATTTTTAGGGACTAAATTTGAGGGGCGCTTCATTAATCGGCTGTGTTTTGGGGAGGAGAGCGCAGCGTGGGTTCTCCAGTCACTCCTTTGAAGGATCTCTCATTGATGCAGGGCCTTGGTAAATGTATCAAATTCTTTAGGGGATGGTGAACGAAATGCAAATCTTCCCGGTGCACGTCTTTTCTCATCGGCCCCTTGTTAATTCCAGTAGCAAGATGCCACTCTTGGCCCACATGCGGGCAGTCTCAGCAAAGGTCCCAAGGGCGGAATAGACTTGCACTCTGGACTATCCTTAGGATTTCTGGGGCCCTACACAGCACTATGAAACTGGTGCCCTATACCCCACAGCAACTGGGGGGGGACAATTTTTTTTAGAGCTGTGATTTTATCATTTTCAGCAACACACAAATGAAATATTTTAAAGCAAATTTAGAACTGAAGTCCTGTCGACTAACACAGTAAATTCAAAAGCTTCAGAGAGGTAGCCGTGTTAGTCTGTAACTGGAAAATCTTAAAAAACTACAAATAGTCTAGCAGCAGCTTAAAGACTAACAAAACATGTAGATGGGATCATGAGCTTTTGTGGGCACAGCCCACTTCTTCCGATGAATGGAGTATTAAAAGTCCAGTTCCAAAATAAATAGGGGATGGAGGCAGGGAAAGGAAGGGGAAAAATAGTGAATTAGAGCAGGCATGTCCAAAGTCCGGCCCACGGGCCAATTGCGGCCCGTGTTCCAGTTTAATACGGCCCCCCAGGTAATTTGGCAATATCTATCTTTTATGGCCCCCAACGAATCCATATGTATTGAGATGAATACATTGTAAAATCTCAGTTAATGTCAGTTGGTCTAAATCAGTTATAAATATATTTGGACACAACATGTATACTTGGTGTTATGTTCCTGTTCATATTTTTTTAACTTAAAAGTTGACAGACAACTTTTATTACCAATAATATGTAATGTACTTTACAATGTTCCTGACATATATTTCAGCTTCCTGGATTTTTTTTTTTCATCTGGCCTTCAGATATGAAAGGCAGAGTGA